AGGCAGGCAGGCAGACAGGCAGGCACGCACAGGTACATGTATAGGTACGGGCAGGAAGGAACAAATAAACCCCACCCTCTAACCTCCTGACTAAACGCTGCCTTGGTCTCTGCTTACACGAGCTGTATCTACACAAATTGCGGCCGACAAGCTGACTGCGAACCTTGAGAAGACCGTCCAAGCTCAGCGTGCCTTTTTCCTTGATCTCCTTCTTGATGCCTCACTGGACTGAGGGAACCGAACCCTAAACCCAGCCTAAACCCTAAAGTTCAAATCCGAAAAATAAACCTCAGACTCTAAACACCTAGGGGGTGCAGTTTATGAATTTTGCACAGTCTGCTCCGTGTTTTGCTACCCTCCTTGATGAGTGCCGAGGCTTGGGTTTGTAGGGCTTATAAGGCTTTCTAACTTAGGGTTTAGGGTTTAGGGTTTCAAATTTAGGGTCTAGGGTCCAATTCTTCGTTTCGAATCCTACCTGGACGCTACTTGCTATCCAGTTCTACGATTCTCATGCTGGGCCATATTACACGTACCAGCAAGCATAACTCTCTCTCTCTCTCTCTATCTCTCTCTCTCTTGCTCTCGCGCACCCCCAGCCTGAAACCTTGTAGAAGTCTGCAAGGCCTCTAAACCTGAACCGTGAACCCTAAACATTACATGGGTAGTTGTCAAAATTATGGCCCCTTTTTGGGTACTCTAAATATTAGGTGCCGTAGTATAACAAGGACCCAAGAAGGGACCCTAATATTGACAACCACCCACATCCCGAACCGGGAAACCTGTTGCATCTCGCCAGGTACTAGGCTCAGACACAAATCACTTCGTGAGCAAGCGACTCATGCAAAGCCTCCAAGCCCTACCTGAAAAGGCTACTACAAGATTACTCTACGGCTTGATCTACGGGTTAATGGAAGGATATCTACATGGGCTGCGTTAAGACTACTATGATAAGGATACTTTCAGTGGCTACTTTAAGGAGAACTCTTCGAATTCCAGACTTCCAAGCCCTTAAAGCGCCCCCTAAACTCCACTAGAGAACACCAGCGAAGGCTTTGTCGGAACCCGCTGAAGCATCAATCTGTCGGGTCCACGTAGTTCATTGTGCTTCAGACATGAAAGTCACACCCAGCCCATCACAGCCAAGATCTTTCTGGGTCTAAATACGTACCTACTTGATAATTGCAGTTGGTGTATACTATACAGACCATCTAGAAAGTGAAGCTCGCGTCGTAAAGTAGATGCGCTTCAGCACCATTTCACTACACCAACCTATACAAGGTTTGGAGCTACTCTCGGCTGCGTCGAAGTGGCCAGACAGGCACGCTCGATCGGATTCATTGGGAGAGCATGGAATGTATGGCGTTGGGCAGCAGCACATCCAAATGCTCCTTGTAGGAAGCTCGAACATGTAACATGTCCACCCCTTCAGTGCTTTCGGCCGTTATGCTTCGCAACGGGCAATATGCAACAGTTGTTGAAGACTTTGGCGTGCATCCGCTTCAACATTAACATCAGAAGGAACAGCCAAGTCTCCAGACCGAAGACTGAACTTTTTGGGCGACTTGCTGTTACAAAGATGCTCCGCACAGCTGAGAAGCCTTTCACAAACAACGATGCCTCTCTCAGGACAGGCAAACCGCCAAGCTGTGAACCCCCATAGTTTTTTCCTTTGGACAAACCCAATGCCATCTTAAGCATTCAATCGCTTAGTTGCACTGATGGGTCCCGGTAAGCTGAACTTGAACATCTCAGGCACTCTTCGGCGGCTGGGGCCAGCATGTCCTCTCCTTCGCCTGGAGACTCTGATGGATGCAGTAACCATGTACTATAGAGGCCTTAATGATTAGAATGGGATTTTGGGGCCCATTATACTAGGTAATTATGCAACTGGCCTTCAAGTGAACGGGACTTTGGAACGGAGGTTCCACTCTAGTTCGCTGATGGGAGAGGACTGGCAGAGGAGCATCCACAAGAGGTCCAAGAGATTGTAGATCCAAGCGTTTGGAATGTCATGCCTACAGAAGCTAGTCTCGACAGTGCCTATACTGAACTTAGAACCCTAGCAAAAATTACAATCTTAGCTGTTTCTTAGGGCTTATAATGACCAAAAAAATATTTCATCATTTCTAAGTACCCCTAAGGTGCCTTCACAGACTTTCTCCAGCTGGTCCAGGAAGCACCCGCTGGTCTGGCTGCTGTTTAGGGTTTACGCTCTCGCAACTCGGACAAGCCAGGCGAGGTTCTGTCTAGGGTTTAGGGTTTTGGGGGTTCGGAATCTTAGGAGTTTGAGGTTTATAATGGGTTTAGGGTTTAGGGGTTTAGGGGTTTTGGTGGGTTTAGGGTTGATGATTCTCGAACTTGGAACGAAACACCCCCCGGCCCCAGCCATGAACAGTTCGATTCCCTAGCCAGGAAGTGCAGCTGGCTCCAGGGATGCAAAAAAGCCTAAACCTCTAAACCCCTCAACCCGAAACCCCTAAACCGTAAACCCTAAACCCCTCAACCCAAACCCCTAAACCCTATACCTGCGCTGTGTGCAGGAAAAGTATGCGAGTGCCGAAGACAAAGCCTCCACCCGAGCCAGACCTCCCAGGCTCTACTTGGGTGGTTGTCAAAACTATGGTCCCTTTTTGGGTTCCTACTATAGTACTGCACCTAATATTTAGGGCCATAATTTTGACAACCACCCACTTGGAGGATCATGGGATTTAGTAACTTAAAGGGTTCCTTATAAGGGGTTCCTTAAAGGGTTTTATAAGGGATCTAGAAGGGGTTTGGGGTTTACTAGGAGGATCATGGGACTTAGTAAGTAGGGGGTTAAGGTTCCCTTTAAGGGATCTATAGGGGTACAATAAGGGTTTGGGGGTTTAGGGTCTACTTGGAGGATCATGGGACTGTAACTTAAGGGGTTCCTTAAGGGGTTCCTTAAAGGGTTCTATAAGGGATCTATAAGGTGTTTAGGGTTTTCTGGGAGGATCATGGGACTTAGTAAGGCTATAAGTACCTTAGTTCACTGGGATTAAAAGTAAGAAGTATATCTACCTTAGTTATTGCCCTAGTTACTAAGTCCCATGACCCTTTAAGTATTGCCGAGCTGCAGCCACAACCTAGGGCCACGACGATATGATTTGTTGTCGGCCAATTGCGAAAGCCATCTTGACGCACGGCTCCGTTCTACACGAAGCTCTATGAGTCTCAGCCATTCCCGGATTGAAGAGCCACTTTCAGGTTTAGGTAGCTCCTTTCCTCCCACACGACACTCTTGAGTTTGATTCCCAGCTTTTGATGCAAATCCCACAAACTCGCAACGACTGCCTATCTCATAGCAAACCCTGCAGCAGAACATGCAGACACAACGTGCTCTTGACACAGCAACCAAAGAACCAAAAGCACTAAAACCAAAAGCCCTCAACCACAAACAAAAAAACAACATTATGTCTTTCAGCTTCAGCACGGAATATCCACCACTATGTCCTTCAGCTTCAACACGGCATATCCGAATTCAGCACCCTGAATTCTGAATGAGCCGGATTAGCCAGATGGCCTGGTAGTACGGACAAGCCATGCGCTCCTCCGAGGGCTTGGGTTTGGGTGCTGACAGTTTACAAGGCTTGTAGGCTTAACCTTTTCGGGTCTGCAAAGCCGGGCCCATATTGCTTCAGAAATCATAAAGTCTGTAAAAACGTGTCTAACTGTCTAACATTTTCGTTCAACACCTCCAAGAACCAACAAATCATGGCCCAGTACAGTAGAAACCCAGGGCTTTACACCAGATTTACAGTGGGATGGGGCGACAAAGGCTTCAAACATCTTCGATGAATCGTGAGCTTGACAAGGGACCACGGAACTGCCTGATTTGCATGCTGATGCTCCGTGGTAGTGGTCAGAGTTGTGTTCATGACCATGAGGGGGTTTCCGAAAATCGGGGCCCAAATGGTAGGATCCCTATTATAAGGACCCCGAAGTAAGGTCCCTCATTTTCGGAAACTCTAAACCCTAAAGCCTTTATAGAACCCTTATAGATCCTTTTAAGGAATCCTTTAAAGGGTACCCCCATTTTCGGAAACTCCCATGAACCAGTCAACGGTAAAGATTCCCCTGGAGCCGAACCAGTCCTCCTTGGGCAAGAGCTCGTCTCCCAAGGCCAGAGGCAGCAGCAGCAGGAGAACGGACATGGGTGGTTGTGAAAATTAAAGTCCCTTTTGGGTCCTTAATATAATACGGAACCCAAAATTTTAGGGTACCCAAAAAAAGGGACCATAATTTTCAGAACGGACATGACTCCGCCAACGTCAAAGGGACCCGACACTGCAGTGCTTCACAAAAGTTGTAGATGCAGGCCGGAGGTTTGTCATGGCGCTTCGATCGGCTGCGTGCCCAAGTTCACTTGAGCCTTTGCGTGTGTGAAGCTCTGCAAATTTGCAGCTTCGGGCCGGCAGCAGAAGGGGCGACAAGAATTGGACCCCAAATGCCACGGTTGGGTGATGTCTTATCTGCCGTCAGGACTTCCGACAGCTGAACCTACACCAGAGTTGAGTGCTTCGGTTGTACAGTTCAGCGTGCATCGTCCTTCCATGCGAATCATCATGACACATCCAGTGGCAAATATACCCCTTCTCTCTTGCGAAATGACAGGTGTTGTGATTTGTGTTATCGCACCTCTTCCCCTGAAGGGCTGGTTTTTAAGAGCTGCTTCGTACGGGTTGTAGTTACAGGAAGGTAAGACTTATGTAGAGTAGATGACCAATTACCCCGACAGGACCCCAAGTAACTTCACAACTTTCACCTAGTTCTTCCTTTGATCTGTGAGCCCTCTTTGCAACTAACCACCTGAATGTCAGCCTTACCGACCCAAGTTCAGTTCTTCATAAGTGCTCAGCGGCAGTCGGGCTTATGCATAATAACGGACTCCTCAGCTCTCTCCATGGTAGTTCGTCTGCTATGAGGCTCTGTATTTCTGTTGGTCGTTAGGGGGTCTGCCAAAAACGCCGTCAAGGCACATGGTGTCGAAAGGCTGCAGCCAAACCTTTGCAATGTCCGCTTCCAATCCGAAAGCTTCGGGATATTCGGGTGCTGATGGCACCAACAAGCCAGGACTCTGTCATCTACATGCATGCGCGCGTGCATGCAAGCTGGGTGGAGTGTGTGGGACAGCAGGATTTGTGAAGCCATCGAAAAGCAAGAATGCACTACGAGGGTTCTCGCTGTCTCTCTGCTTCCCTGTCTCCCTGCCTCCCTCCCTCCCTCGCAGCTCTCGCCCCCAATGTCTGCAATGCCGCTTTCAGGAGGCCAGTGGGACTTCCCGAACAAACCTGTAGCCGCAAACCCCACGAAATAGGAGGCTATGTCTTCCCACTCCTAGCAAAAGTTAGTTGTAAGGGATAACTCTGTAGGGGGGTACCTCTTGAGCAATATGTTGTTTTTATTGGATCCGGGTATTGGAGCATGAGGCATTCCAGCCTTCGATCCCATTTTCCTTCTACGGCTTGCGCTCTAAGCGAGAAGCAAAGTAGCTTTGGAAAGTCATGGGAACATCCAGGCAGAAGCCGTTCAGCCTGGCCTGCAACATGGTAGCCTCACAAGCCTGTAGTTGAAATAGCAGCGATCAAGCTTGGTTACAACTTTCGCTTCCGAAGCATACCTGTTCCGATTGCCATGTCTTCTAAGATCACCGCGTGGCTCTCCAAGATAAACGTGGAAAGACCGGAAACCCATAATGCGACGGTGCCCATGTCCACAATAAACAAAGTGTTTGTTGCACAAGACGTCCTTCCAAAGTAGCACCCCAGGGCAGCAGTGTTGGAACGCAGCTGCTGCGAAACCGGTTGACCACAAGCAACCTGCCTGTGCATTTATCCGCCGGGCAGCTGCTCTGTGACCGACTTTATCCATCAGGCGCCGCGCGAGTAGTGAAAAGTTTCCCTTCCTTGGATTCCCAAAGGCCGCTTCGGAACCGAAACGCGCGACTAGGGGCCCAACAAAGCATGTAAAATCCAACTAGTGAGCCTGGCTTTGGGGCTTACCCGTAGGCCCCATAGTAGTTCCTTTTTGGGGCTCATACGTACAAGTCGAAACGCTATAAGCTAACCCCAAAAAGGAACTACTATGGGGCCTTTGGGTAAGGCTTGTTGGATCTTTGTGTTTAGCTGGTCTTTCGGGTTCCCATCTGCGAGCCAGGAGACCACAATCGAAGTCCGTATGGATCTGGATCAATATCCTGCAAAGGACCGCCCCAGCTGACAGCAAAACGAAAATAAGAACCCTAAACCCTAAACCGCACAGAAGCAAAGAACGATGGTTGGGGACTGACCGACAGGATACGCACAAAAACACACACACACAACAAACACATGGAACTGCGATGGTCAGCTCAGCTAGACACGACTGAGTGCAAAACTCTAAACCCTAAACCCCTAAACCCTAAAACCCCAGATTGAAGCTGAAAATGGTCGTGGAACCAAGCAAGACCACACACACTTCTAAACCCTACACAATTTCAGGATAGGTTCCCAGCGATGCGGCTTCTAGATCCTCCCCCAAATCACTATATTCAACACTTTACGATTTGAACATACCTAAACCAAACCCTAAACCCCTCCAAACTCTCTACCCTCAGGAAATTCACTCTGGGCACCTCTTCTCGTGCCGCTTCGATGAAGCTTCGCCCTCCCGGACTGTCCTGACGCGGCGCACGCTTTCCGGGGCTAACCCTGCGAGGTACCCAGAGAGCCCAATACTCCGTAATTAAGGAATATAGCCTGAATCATCATATGAAGCCCAATATAATTTAAGCCATATTCCTCAATTAAGGGGTACTGGGCTCTCTGGGTACATGTTTAGGGTTCGGTGCAAGGGTTTGGGGATTTTCGTGTCTCCTACCTTCTACCTCGCACCGCAGGGTTTCGGGTTCAGTTCAAGGTTTCGGATTCATGAAATAACTCTCCGACCACCATCCACCATACTGGGCAACTTGATGTAGTCCTTCTGTTAATGGGGGACTAAACTGCCAGGCTCCAGGCCCTCATTGCTATGGCCCCTACACTACAAACACTAAAAAAAGCATCAAAACACTCACTTAGCCAACAAAACCGAAGCGCATCCGTGGACAACCACATCATCCCACATCCCTAAACGCTGCAGCCGAATAAATCCACGCTTGCACCCCAAACCAACTGCTTGTGGATATGGTAACTGTTTGTAGCAAAGTAGCGGGACTCATTCGGTTGAATGAAGACAGCACCTGGATCTGCACTCAGTAACTAGGGTTATCACTAAGGTAACCATACTTATAACTACTTATAACCCCAAGTAAGGTACTTATAACCTTACTTACTAAGTCCCAGAATATGGAGTCAAAGGATTCGGACTGTAGGGCCGGGGTTCGCTTTCCCAAGTGCAGGCCGTTCGGAATAAGTTTTGAAGGCTGCAGGCCTGGATATACAATGTTATGAATCAATAACGACACCACATATCATACCAAATCATTATTCAGATGAGGATTAAAACTTTTGCCAAACTGACCTTAAATACTGCTTCAATAGGAAGTCTTCTGAAATATCGATATATGCCTACCAGACGGAAACGGCTTTGCAAGCATTGTCAATCAGCACCGGAAAAATCCAAGGGATTTCGTTGCGGAACACACATGTTTCTTGCAAGAAAGCTTCTGCGATGTGATCACCCGCACCCTGTCTTCAGTCGACATCGAGCAAATCGAGCAGTCTTGTTGTGACCATTCACAACTGTCAAGTTGCGCCCCAAGCAATGTTTGCAAGCGTGTCACATAACGAATCGGATCTCGGAATGCCAAAATCACCTTAGACTGGCAAAGCAAAACATGACGAGCGCTCCTCGCAGCCTAAGCCGAATCTGGAAGCAGGAGCTGCGCAGCTATTTGATTTCACTGGCAAGATGCTTTGGCACCAGATTTCCTTGGCTCTGGGGCATCCGGTCAAAAAGGCGTCGAAAGAACCTCCAATTAAAAACTTGAAGGAATCAGCGAGGCAACTGATCTGTCATCATGTGTTGTTCTTCCTATCGCTACAGTTGCTGTCGCGAACATGTTGCTCTCAGAATCGCCGGCGTGCTGTCAAGCCACCCAGCAAGCAGGGCTTGCACCTGCAAAGCCCAAGGCCCCCCCAACATGCAACACAATAGCTTCAAGTTTCGTTCAACACATCTGTCCTGTCGCCGTGTAACGTGCTGAGCCAACGCCCCACAACTTGAGCATGTTTTGCAGAACAAAGTTGCCGCATAAGATCTGTTGCAAGCATTGCACAAGCTCGCTAACGGAGCATGAGCGCGGTTCCATCGTACTTCACAAGCCCGTGCCTTGCGGGACGCGATGTCGTGGGATGCGTAGCGCGAATCCCAGACACCTGGTGCAGCAGCCATCAACTTATCAACCGACAATGGTACGGCAATGCATCCTTGCATGGCATGATGTATGAGCATGCAAAAACCCGGGTCGACCAATCCAGACACGGCCGCTGCAGCCCCAAGACTGAAGCTCTGGCGCAAAACCCAAACGTGGTCCCAAGTCCCTGCGGCGACGTACAGTGATTTCGCACATGCTATTAGAAGTGAATTCCGAAAAGGAAACCGGCCAAGCCAGCCTACCCGTTTGCCTGTCGCGCAATGCTGCACTTGATCATTCAGCCGTGCCTTCGATACTCAGGAAGTTATAAGGCTTGGCCTTATCTAGAAAGCTCCAATTCATACAGGCAGTACAATAGCCAAGTTTTCACATGCGCGGTTTCGGATCGGGGTCACGCTGCATGCCTGCTGTCGACCGTACTGTGCCACCACGTCGCGATGGTCTCCAGAGCTGGCCATAAAGCAAAGCTCATAAATGCTGGCCTCGTCGTAGCGCACTGGGTTTGCGAGCGGTAATTACCAATTGCTCATGGCCTATGCGTCCATCTATGCCGAAGGATACGCACTGAACATGTCACATGTCTCATTACACCATCGGACCTTTCCCGCGCAACATGCTTGCGAACCCTTCCGTTCGGACATGAGTTTCAAGAAAAGAATGAAACTCCTTGCCAAGCATCCAATAGCTTGGAGGGTCCACCACATCACATGCCGGAGCTGGCGCGGCAGGAGCACTGAAGTCCCGAGCCCAATCCTGCAAAACTATCTCTGTCACTGTTGTCGATGCTTTATAGTCGCACCTTTCTTGCCAGATGTATCAAAAAGTTCTATATCTATTACATTCCGATTGCGGTTTCCACTAAGAATAACCTGCCAAGAAACGGACAGCTCGAACGGCACCATGTAAATGTCCTCACAAAAGCACAGGTGCTCCAACAAGTGCCCCACAACACGACACACGCTGGATACATGCTATCCGCGCTCGCATGCTAGCGAGCAATAGGCCGTCCCTCGAACAACCTCACCACGCTTTGGGGGGCTATCTGTAGCAAGCTGTAAATTGAATCGGCAACATGATCTTGCGAGCTTATCAACATAACGACATTACAAAACCGTAAAAGCCGTGATGTCTTGTGCAAAACTTCCGAGACCCTTGGTTCGCAAGCACAAATATAATCTTGTTTTGAATCTTGTATTTGGGCTTGTGCTCAGCACTATGCCTCTCCATGTTCCGTCCATGAAATGTTTAATTGGCGTGCTGTCCTCGGCCGCTTGCAAGAATTTGACGAGGCTTGTGGTGCCACCCCGCTCAAAACCAGCGACGACAAAGTCGACTCTCCTAGCTGGTGCATGGTGGCTGGGTCATTCCTCCATTATACGGAAAATACGATGCCATGCCGAGATTTTCTGCTGTGGTCCAGACATTAGCTGAGCGACATGTCCCGCCAATGGCCTCGGGTCATCCCATATTGTGGCAGTCAGCAAGCCTACATAACAAAGCCATCACAAAGTTAAACAATTATACAACCATTCTACATCATTCTAGTTCTTGTTGAATTCAGACTAGTGCGCAACATGCACAATTCGAACACCACCGGGCATTTTTTTAGTTGTTTGGCAACAAATGTGCCAAGCATGCAATCGCAACCCAAGACACCGATGCGTTGCACGAGCAAATTGTCGATCTCCTCCATGCAAAAGCTAGGGGGACAACTATGTATGTGAACATCTACGACTATACCCATGCACCCGGTGAGTTTGCAGGACCGGGTGCTGGCTCCTCTTGTCCAAGCGCGGCACCGATGGCTTGCAGAAACATTGGCACAGCGACTGCCCGCACGAGGGGTTCCTTGCATAACCACAACTTGCTGCAAACAATTCTGCGGACACTGATGTTGCACGCATGTCCTTTCGAGGTACAAAAACGAGGTATAACACCATCACTACGTAGACGCTTGATCCCGCAATCACCCACCCGAAGAATCGCAACATATCATACGCAGGTATGGGTGCCACATGTAAACTGTCGATGTCGCACGCACCCATGCAAAAAAACAAAAAAAACATCAGAGGCCGCACCGCGCCGCAAACAGCAAACAAACAACAGCATTCCCCACGTAAACAATGCCCGATTTCGCAGGCACCCCGCAAACGAAATGCACCAATGCCATCACAGCAAATTGCAAATCATAACAAACTGAAGCCAACCAAACCCCATGCGGATGTTTCATGATGCTCGATTGTGCACCCACCCGCTTACTTTTTTTTTTTTTTTTACGCGCCTCTTTTCCGCCTGCAAGGTGGCTGTCCCCGTATGCTGCCAGAGGCAGGCTGACTACCGTCGCTACGGCTACGCAGGATCGTCGCTGCCAACTGCTACGAGCGCAGGGGCGAGCGACTAGGGCCCGCCGCTGGTCCGGCGAGCTCGAGCACTCGCTCGAGGGGCGGCTCATCCCCCTGACGCGGGTGGAGTGGCACTGGCCAAGCCTGCCCCAGCGCCGTGCTGGCTACCGCCCGCTGCACGGCAACAGCCAGCATGCCCCACCAACGGCGCGACCAGCGCGCAGCGGCCGCGCGGCGAAGAGCCGGCGGAGCTCTTTGGGACCGGACGCGGATGAGGTGCTGCACGAAGCGGCCAGCCTCGCTGGAACAAACTTCGGAGCCCAGAACAACGAGCTCTTGCGGTCCTCCGCCGCTCAGCTCCGGGTAGGTGCTCCGTTTGCGGCGCTCGGCTACCCTGAGCACGGCCCACGGCCCCGTCCGTATCAGCGGCTCCCAGCTGTGGATGCCCCGTCCGTGCGAGAGGTGAGACGAGAGTCGCATCGCAGCACAGTGCGCCTCCCCGCGGTGTGGCGCCGTAGACGACTAAGTCGAGCCGTCTGCGGTCGTCAGCTGGCACTCCCGGTGCGGTAGTGTGCACGAGCCATTGTTGAGGGACGACTTGCCCATCAGAGCCGACCGCCTCGCGGGCTACGCGCACCCAGGCCCGCTCGACGACTTTCGCTCGGCGAGCCAACAACCCTGTGCGGGGGCAGGCGAGGGCATGGTCCCCGTACTCGTCCACCTGCTGCCCGCAGCCGGGGCTGGGGCCGCAACGGTTTGGGCTAAGCGGCAGGGGTAAGCGCAAGCGGCGCCGCAACGCGAGCTGCATATAGCTGCATGTCCTGCGGGGCGAGGGTTGGTGCTGGTTCGCTCGGCACTGCCGATAGCGATGCACCAGCATGTGCCCCGCCTTGTGAGCGTAGCAAGGCCCGAGAGGATGGCTGCAGAGCCGGCAGCAGCACACGGTCGCGATAGTGAAGGTTTCGAGTCCGCGTCGCGTGAAACTGCCAGCCGTGAGGCCATTCGCCCAGGCCTGCATCGCAGGGTTGTTTCGGCCGGGCGCCTTCGTAGGCAGCGCGCCAGCCAGGGCACCCTTCCCAGCCTTCTGCTCGCAAAAGGTTTTTCGCTGCCGCTGCCTCGCGTAAGCAGGGGATCGCGCCTTCCGCGCCTTGCTCCACAGCAACCAGGCAGCGATCAGCTGCGCCGGGCACGCGAAAGCGGATGACGGTGCTGTGCTTCTGCCGGCGGCACGCCCCCCAAACACTCCTGGAGTGTCTCCCAAACAGCCTGGTCGTGTGCCCGCGCGTATGACGCTGATTCGGAAGGCGGCAGCGTTCGCAAGGCGTGGTTGGCGCGGGGCGATGCGCAAAACAGCAGCAGCAACCAGGCGCACTGAAGGTCCGGGAGGTGAGGTAGCTCGACGAGCAAACGGCGTTCCTCCTGAAGCCGCGCGTCGGCCCAAGCCTGGACGAAGTCGGCGTGCCCGACCGGCGAGCCTAGCACCACGATCCCGCGCTGGGCCGACGGTTTGTCGCCGCGCCAAACATCGTCCCCCAGCTCAGCGATGTCAGGCGGCGGCGGGCCTGCTTCGGCTGCTATCACCCGCGTCTTGCCGAGGTTGGACCCGATGCCGCAGTGGTCAGCAACGGCGTGGGTGGCCGCATCCAAAGCTGCACGTGCGCGGTTCGGAGCTGTGACGATGTACAGATCGTCGAGGAAAGCCATCAGCGTGTCCCCTGCGTGCAGGCCGGAACTGGCGCGCTGCAGAGCGTCATGCTGTCCCAACGCGTACAGCGCTGGGGCGAGAGGGTCGCCCTGCTCGCACCCGTCCCCTTGCCTGACTTCTCGGTGCCTCCCGGTGTTGTCTCACCAGCAGTATGCGGAGGGGCGGCCGTAGAACATGCCTGTGAAGGGGAGGAGCTCCGGGGCCACCTCGCGCAACTTGGACAGGAAAGCGGCCGCTGCGACCGTCCAGCGAGACCAGGACCGCATCGCTGCGCTGGGCAA